TACACTATTAGAAAAGTGTCATTTTCTTGCAAAAAAATATTCGCAAAATTTGTTTTGCGAATTTTCTTGCCAAAAATTATTCGCATAAATTTTTTTGCGAATTTTCCTACAAAAATTATTCGCAGAAATTTTTTGCGAATTTATTTGTGAAAAATAATTTACAGATATTTCTTACAAATTTTGCTACAATTTTAATAATCATAGAAATTTTTTTCTATGGTAAAAAATATTGTAAGAATTTTATTTTGTTTATTGCAGATTTTCTTGTAAAAATAAATTCTCAAGTAATGTTTATTAAATGGTAGAAAAATTTTGCGCTTAACTTTTCCTGCGGATTTTCCTGCAAATTTTAATCCGCAGGAAAAATAAAAAAATATATTTAAATTTATAAGTTTAATATTTTAAAAAAACTTCAAGTCCCACATCGATTGAAAATAAGACAATTAAAGAATATATAAGTTGGAGCAACACTTACCTTACAAGTTGATTTATATAGTTGAGTGTTAGGCTTATAATTTAAAAGATTATGTATCACATGTAGGAGGCATGGAAACAAATGCTTCGGATGAATTCATTGTGAGCATTTGAAAGTTGAAAAATTATTGATAGAATTTATAGTAATTTCTTTAATTTTTTCGTAAAAAATATTATTGCAAAAAAATTCGCAGGAAACTTTGTTGCGAATTGTTTTGAAAATTTCCTGCGAATTTTAAAATTCGCAAAAAAATATTATCCACGAAGGTATTACCTGCAGATAAAATTTTGCAGGAAAATTTGCAGGAACAATGTTTCCTGCGAATTTTTATGAAAAATTTGCAGGAAAAGTCGCATGTAATAAGAGAAATTCTAGTAGTGTTAAAAACTTTAAATTCAACAGTTATATCATTAAAATTTAATGTAGAATATGAGTTCCAATACATAAAAATAAATTTTTTTTTTGGAATGTTACAAAATCCAACATCATTGTGCACACACAAATTTTTTTTTTAGTTATATCAATTATGCTTTATAATTATTTGAACTTTTAAAACTTTTATACTTATAATTCTTATCAAATAAACTCTATTTCTTAACTAATATTTTTATAATATTCATTAATAATATCTAAAATTTTAATAATTTCATTAATAAAATTTAATAATTACTATTTAATTAATTAAAAAAAAAAGTTAATGTGAATTGAATATTTTTATCACATATTTTAATACACTTTTGGAAAAAAAAAATTTAAAACCTTAACTTTTTAAACATACCTTTAAATTTAAGTTAATTAATAAAAAAAAATATTCTTTAATGGTCATATGTATATTATTTTTAATCATTAGAAAAAATTATAATAACAACACAATTTCAACTTAAGATCTTGTCCATATTACTTTAATTTTTACTATTATAAATGCTTAGAAAAAAATATTTTTTTAATCGGTAGAAATTACAATAATGACAACATAGTCATTATTTCACCTTATAAAATACTTAACAGGATAACATACTCTTATTTAAAAATAGTGTAATGTTTTTTAAGGGAAGAAAAATTTATTTTAGAAAAAAAAAAGGTTACACATTAACAATGTAAAATGGTTTTACAATTTTAACTAAAATGTATGATGAATTTGTTAACTTTTATAATAATTATCTTAAAATTTTTATTAATAATAAACTTTTTTATTGATGAATAGCATAAAAATGGTACATCACCATTAAAATATTTATTAAAAGTATATTAAAAAAATTGTATAACTCCTTCCCATTATGTAAATCCTATATAAGATAAAATAGTATCTTCAATCGCAACTCATACTCTAATCGGGAATAAAATCCCATCTATATTTAAGGAATACAAGTATCAAACTATTTGTGTTAACGACTTTTGATATTAAAACATGATTTATGAATTAAAATTATATTTCTATTATTCTATAATATAAGTGAGGTGTAAGAAGAAAAACTAAATCTCAAAATACATTTCATTTTAGCTTTTCAATGTAACATTAATTAATTATTTTCCATTTATACCTTTAATAATAAATATTCTTTGTAAGGTTAATTATTGTTGTGTGATAGTACTGTTTCTAGTAAAAAAAAAGTTAATAATAAAATTAATTTTATAAAATTATTATTCTTTTTTATCTCTTTATTAACATTTTATGATTTGTATAAAAAATAATAGGATGACACTTATTAAGAGATAATAGGAATAAAATTTATCAATAAAATGAATAAAAAAAGTAAAGAGGAGTTATTATCTTTTACAGATTGCATTTAATTTTATTCAAAGAAAAAATAGTTAATAATGAGAGAAGGTAATAAATTAAGAGTTAATCACCTATATATGTATAAAATTTTTTTATATTGACAACTAATAATATATTTTAATACTGTCATGTTAACTACTTATTTAATAAAATAAAAATAAAATAAAATAATTTAAAAGATATAATTAATTATTAATATAAAAAACTTTACAATGTTAATATATGAATGATTAACTCATAAATTAATAGTTGTAACATTGAAGAAGCGAACCTAGGTTTCTTTATAAAACCATGACCGAAGCATAGTCTCTACAGTACTCCAACTCCATTCCTTTTCCTTCAGTTTGGCGTCTCTTTGTATATCGTTCTTAGGCTTCTTCATCTTGCTTTCTCTTTGGTAACCTTCACGATAATCGATCTGTTAACGTTGTCTTTCTTCTTTTCTTTTCATTTTTGTTTTTGTCAGTGTCTTTCTTGTTTTCTCGGACCCTAATCAAACTGATTAATTTTCAGAACAACTCCATTTAATGCACTTCTGAACCGGATCTGTTCATCTGTGATATGTGTGTAATTAAAGTAAGATTTCGCTTAGATGTCAGATCTTGTGAATTGTGATGAATTGTTATAGCTTTGATGTTGTGCCATAATTTATTTATTAATTTGTGTTGAAATTGATGGTAAAACTAGGTTAATTTCTTTGAGAAATGAAGGAGGGTTCGCAGTCTCAGACAAGGCCCCCGCGGGAATCGGGGATTGATGAAAGAGTGGTTCAAGAAAGAGGAAATGACATGGTTTCTGATTTGTGTGGTGAGGATCAAAGACAGGCCTTGAATTCAAAACCTCCAAATGAGATGAAGAAGCAGCTATATGTTTCGGTTTCAGGTACGTCTTGGATGCACCTGCATCGTTTGCAGTCAGCATCCAAGCGGAAAAGGGAAGCACATGCCGGTGCTTCTTAAAAAGATGTTGATGCTCTCGGTAGGGATGAAGGAGATTCAAATGCTGCATCGAGAGACCTCAATTCCCATCCCTATTCCGAAGAGATGCAACCATAGTGGCAGTGATAGATTCAGAAATTTTAGATAGTGGAACAATGTTTATTTATATATTATAGTATTAAAAATTTTATCTATAACTTTTATAGACATAAATATATATCATAATTATTTTTTACAAGTTTTTATATCTAGGATTACAATTAAAGATGAAAATAAAATTAGGTTAGACTAGATTTTATTATAATTTAGTAGGTTTAAACCTAACTTTCTTTAAAAATATATATCCTAAGTATGACTTATTTATCTATCTGACATTTTTAATTTAAATGTTTGGGTACAATCCTATAGACCTATTTTATAATAATTTAATATTATTCAAAATATAAAAATAAATATGTTAAATTTTATAAAAATCAAGTTTAATTTATTTATGATATAAACATGTTTTTAATATCTAATATATATTTTTAGATGATAATTTATTTTAAAATATATTTTATAATAAAAATTCTAAATGAAACATAAATCTTCCGATTTTTCTTATTTTGATTTTTTTTAATCAACATATACAATTTTACTATTTTGATTTTTTTTATTTTTTTAATCAACGTATATAATAAATAGAAAACACAAAAGGTAAACATGCATACTACAATTTTTATTTTATCAAAAAAAAATTTTTAAAAAAATTGATTCATTATTAAAGAATATTCTTTATCACATTAAAGAATTAATCTCTTTTAAAAGTTTGATAAACATCAAATAAATAAACATCCAAATCTATATTTTATACATATGATAATTTAAACATTTTCTCCGAATCTATATTTTATACATATGATAATTTAAACATATAATTTTTATTTTTTAAAATATTTTTTTTAATAAAAAATTATGTATGTTTGCCCCACTGTCCCACAAGTGGATCCGTCCCTGCACAGTGGATATACGAAACGATAAATTACTCTCTAGGAAAATATATGTAGATCAAATTGCTTAAACTTAATATTCTATTTGTAAGCTTCATTGAAGATATATGATATTGTTCTAAGTTAGAACAATATTTATTAATATTTTATTAGATTTCTCTATTATGCAAATAAAGAATAATTTGCTTTTCTTTTCTAAATATTTATCGTGTAAAATTTTACTCTCGTTAAGTTTGACGTTTTCTCTTTTTCTTAAAAAAAAAAGTTTGACAACATATTCGTTTTGTTGAGGAAAATGAAAAAAATAAAATAAAAATTATGAATTAGTAACAGATTCAGAAACTTTAGACAGTGGAGATTGATTTGTGTGATGAAGATCAAAGACAGACCTTGAATGTAAACCCAACAAATGAGACAAGGAAGTGACTATATGTTACAAGCTTTCACATCGGGGTTTTGGTCATTGGGGTGAATAGAATCTCTAGCGAGTGGGGTTGTGAGCAACTGGGGTTAACTTCAAAGGCTTTCATGTTCAGTGTCGAAAGTGAGTCTTAGTAACATGTCTTGAAGGTCGATGATCATGAGGTGTGATTTGCTCACACATGACTCTAACACTAGTTAGAGTCTTTTGTGGACAAGCTCGAAGTGCGACTCTAGATCTGCAGTTAGTTTTCTGAACACCGCAGAAAGAACAAGCTAGCTCGAAGAGATGAAATAGACCTCAACACTCATCCCAATTCTAATGACATGAAAGTTAATTCTCAATTTTTCAATATTCTACTTTGCTTCATCCTACTAGGGAGGATCATTGGTGGTTCTCCTGAAGTGGTTGATGGGATAAAGCTACGTAAAATATTGAAGAATCGAGAATTAACTTGCATGTCCTTAAAATTAGGATGAGTGTTGATATTTCATCTCTTCAAGCTTGTTCACTCTGCAACATCCAAAAAGCTAATCGTAGATCTAGAATAACTCTTCAAGTTTGTCCACAAAAGACTTACCATTGTTAGTGTCATGCATGAAAAATCATGCCTCATTGGCATCGACCTTCATGACGTGTTACTAAGGCTCACTTTCGACAACGTGTGCATGATAGCCTTTGTTGTTGACCCTAGTTGCTCACAGTCTCACTTGCCAATTGCTTGATCTATTTATTGTGCTATAATTTATTTAATATTGTTAACTTCTGTTAAAATTGATTGTAGATCTAAGGTAATTTCTTGGAGAAACAATGGAGGGTTTGAAATCTAGGGCCGTGGGAATCGGGGAGTGGTAAAAGAGTGGTTCAGGAGAGAGGGAATGACATGGTTTTTGATTTGTGTGATGAAGATCAAAGACAGACCTTGAATGTAAACCCAACAAATGAGACAAGGAAGTGACTATATGTTACAAGCTTTCACATCGGGGTTTTGGTCATTGGGGTGAATAGAATCTCTAGCGAGTGGGGTTGTGAGCAACTGGGGTTAACTTCAAAGGCTTTCATGTTCAGTGTCGAAAGTGAGTCTTAGTAACATGTCTTGAAGGTCGATGATCATGAGGTGTGATTTGCTCACACATGACTCTAACACTAGTTAGAGTCTTTTGTGGACAAGCTCGAAGTGCGACTCTAGATCTGCAGTTAGTTTTCTGAACACCGCAGAAAGAACAAGCTAGCTCGAAGAGATGAAATAGACCTCAACACTCATCCCAATTCTAATGACATGAAAGTTAATTCTCAATTTTTCAATATTCTACTTTGCTTCATCCTACTAGGGAGGATCATTGGTGGTTCTCCTGAAGTGGTTGATGGGATAAAGCTACGTAAAATATTGAAGAATCGAGAATTAACTTGCATGTCCTTAAAATTAGGATGAGTGTTGATATTTCATCTCTTCAAGCTTGTTCACTCTGCAACATCCAAAAAGCTAATCGTAGATCTAGAATAACTCTTCAAGTTTGTCCACAAAAGACTTACCATTGTTAGTGTCATGCATGAAAAATCATGCCTCATTGGCATCGACCTTCATGACGTGTTACTAAGGCTCACTTTCGACAACGTGTGCATGATAGCCTTTGTTGTTGACCCTAGTTGCTCACAGTCTCACTTGCCAGAGATTCCATTCGCCAAAGCAACTGAAACCCCGATGTGGAAGCTTGAAACATATAGTCACTTCCTTGTCTCATTTGTTGGGTTTACAGCATCGACCTTCATGACGTGTTACTAAGGCTCACTTTCGACAACGTGTGCATGATAGCCTTTGTTGTTGACCCTAGTTGCTCACAGTCTCACTTGCCAGAGATTCCATTCGCCAAAGCAACTGAAACCCCGATGTCAAATTTAATTTATTTATGATATAAACATGTTTTTAATATGTTATATAAATCTTTATATAATATTTTATTTTAAAACATATTTTATAATAAAAAATCTAAATAGAAGTTAAATCTTCTAATCTTTCTATTTTTATTTTTTTAATCAATGTATACAATCTTACCATCTTTATTATTTTGATTTTTTTGATCAATGTATACAATAAATAGAAAATACAAAAGGTAAACATGCATGTTGCAAATTTTATTTTATAAAAAATTAATTTTTTTAATAAATTACATTATATACACATATATATATATATTATAATTAAACTCTTTTTAAAAAGTTGATTCGTTATTAAGGAATATTCTTTATTATATATGAAAACTAATTTTATTTGAAAGTTTAACAAATATCAAGTAAATGAACATTTCCTCCAAATTTATATTTTATACATACAATAATTTATATTATATATATATATTAGAATATAACTTATTTTTAAAATATATTGTTTTTTTGGATAAAAAATGTATATGTAAAATGGTAGTGGAGGCAAGTGCCCCCACACCGTTGCATGTAGATTCGTCCCTGATTTATAATGTATATCTTTAATACTACTCCTATGCCTTATATGTGTTGCACAAGAATATGGAATACATTCTTATTTCTTGTGTTTTATGTGACACCCTCTACCTCAACATTAATACACAATAAATGTAAATAATGATTTTTTTTCTTTTTGAGTAAATAAAACATTTCATAGTTTGATAACATCTTTCATGGATAAAATAATTGTCTCATATCATAAGGTAGAAGATTCACATTCGTAACTCATAAATCATAATAAGTCAACGTATAAGTATCAAAACTCAAGAAATCATATAAAGGAAAATAAAGATTAATTCTAGCAAAGATGGCATCGCCTCCTAGTTAGGAATTAAATTATAACTTTCAAATCATATAATAAAAATAATATGACAAAGATACACATTTTGGTCTTTTATCAAAAACGTTTAAAATTACAAAAGAAAGATTATAAACTTTATTTACGTTATTTCTTCACTAGAAATTACAAAAGAAAAGAAATTAAAGTTATTAAAACAATAACATATTAGACTAAGCTAGCTATGCCCCGATGTCACATTCTATCAGAGCATGCCCAATTGAAGCCTTAAGCCTCATTACCAACATCCTCATGATGATAATCACCTACAACATAATTTAAACATATACAAGAACAACAAGGGAGTGAGAAACATCTCACTCAGTTTCAGGTGCAGAAATAAAGGCTAGATAGCACACACACACATAACAAATATAAGTCACATGTAAACAATACACATAAATAATCAATATTATATACATACTCATTTATCATACTATGATGTCATGGACTCGACTCATAAATGCATGCATGTGGCGCCATAAGGAAGTTTCACAAATCATCACTGGTGACCCTAAGGCACACCTGGTTACATCACTGGTGACCCTAAGGTACACTTTGTTAGCTTGTTACATCACTGGTGACCCTAAGGTATACCTTGTTAGCATCATTGGTGACCCTAAAGTACACCTTGTTAGCATGTTACATCACTGGTGACCCTAAGGTACACCTTGTTAGCATCACTGGTATGCGGCTTCAGCGGCACACCTGGAGTAATATATGCATATGATGCATGTCATACAGACATTATTTCATTGACTGAACATTTGACTTATTACAGAATTTCATTTAGTACATCATGTCATCATTTTTCATATTCTTATAATCACAACTTGTCTCAATAGTCCATTCTTAGGTCTCATGTCATTTGTCAATATTTCACATTGTGACACCCTCTACCCCATCATTAATACATAATAAATGTGAATAATAATTT